TCACTATAGGGTGCATGCGCTCGCCAGACAGACAGAGAGAGACAGAGAGACAGAAAGCGAGAAATCACCCCCCAGGGGGGATGGCCATGCCGCAATCCCTCCTCCTCCATTCTCCTCTCGGGATCTTGGGCGGGCACGCACGCACACGTGCCCGGCATGAGTTTTAAGCCACTGGGTCTGGGACTCGAACCATGCATGGTCGACTACGTGGGAGTCCAGCGACATAGCCATTACGCTAACTGCTGGTCCCAAAAGCAATATAATTTCTAACACAAGCAAGCAGAACTTCGCAGTTTTCTTTAGGTAACGGTCAAGTTTATTTCATGTTTAATAACAATTAGAGGACAAAAATGTTTAAAATCTGCAGTTTAAAACATGCACATTCACAAAAAGCCAGTGACACGGAACACTGCATCGAAATGCATATTACTCAACTTGAACCACTACTTACAAAACAGTGCATCAAACACCAAGAGAAACAAACCCGAGAAAACTAACTACCACGACCACAGGTTCAATACCCGCCACTCATGCGGCTTCACAATTTTGACAGCAGTTTCGGCAGGCATGGTTTTTCCAGGCTGAAAATACTACTTGATCGTTAATGTAGACTGCAGTTAGCTGCCTTCCAAACGCTGCCTTTTTAAAACATAATAACCTAGAAAATGTGAGAAAAAGAAGCTTGCAATAGTTAAATGACAACAGTATTCACCGTGTTTATGGCTTCTCTCGGTGAGCCATGAAACATATTTTTTCTTTTTTAATATTCTGCTCACATCTTTGCCAGAGCAGATACACTGATGGAAATTGCTGTTAATTCAAAGTAAGCAAATACAACGTGTAACTTTGTTGCTACTCAAGGGTACTTTTTTTTTTTCTTGACCCAGTTGGGAACTTTAAGAAACGTTCTGAGGCAAGCTACACATTTGTTCAACTGTGTTTGTAAAAGAATCTTCTTTTAAAAGAAAGTTTTGAGGGGGACCAATTAAATTAACTTGTCTAGTGAATATTAAGTTCCAGGTAGGCTAGGACAGAATTTTCTAAGGCAGAAATAAACATCACGATGTATCGCAAGAGCCACGTGTCGGCCTGGGATCACTTTCGTATTAATTCATGCAAAACCATAAACCTATCGAAAACACAGCTGCTGCCATACAGCAAATAAATCAAAATGCAAAATGGAAAACGTTTATTTCCTTCAAAAGTTCATGTACATTCCATTCTAATAGCTGTGGAAGTTTCATTAAAATGCAGCAAAGTTTCACAAGTGGCTTCAGGTTCTTTTTATGTGAGACAAATCAGACTGTGGTATCATTCAGATGCTTTTTAAAAATGTTCATCACTGAAAAGGCATTTATTAGGCACTGAACTGCATGGTGTCATCTTAAGTAATTTACAAAAAGAATCCCATCGACTGGGTCTATTGGTATGAACGGGGCGGGGGCATTTTCTTGATATATTTTGGAGATGATTCATGAGAAGATTTTAGATTTCGTGAATGAAATCAGTGTTGAAAGCCAGGGACAATCAAAATGCAACTGCACAAAAAAATCAACCCTCGTGATTATTCGGCTTTGGAATAACTATGACATTGTTATAAATACATTTAAAAATCTATGAATAGACACTCTGGCTTTCTCATTAGCGTTCGCTTCTCACGAGGACATTTTAAATGACAGGACTTAAGTGTGACACCCACGGTGTTCAATAAACTCTCGTGTGACTTTCTTACTGGCTCTCTGGAATGCTGACCACCTGTGAAATTGACACAGAACATTGAAGGGTCCGAATACGTGCAGACTGAGTTCATAGAACATTGAAGAGTCCGAATACGTGCAGACTGAGTTCTTGAATTCATGCTTCTTCCTGGACATTGAGAGGAACCACTGATTTCCCGTGATGACCATAAAATGCATGTCAACGGTTAACAGAATTTAGCAGGGCGCCCATTCCCTGACTTGATTAGAAAACATTTTCCATTGAGTTAGCAACATGGCTGAAGCACTTTTACAGAGGATGGAGTGGAGGCGGGAAGAGTGGAAATACACAGATCATCTTAAATTTACTACATTCCTGAGAAACACTGTTTTCCTGCTCGTAAATTCTACAATATAGCATCTTTCTGGGTGTGAGACACCAATAGACTTTTATATGCATATATATATATAAAACTTTCGAAAATCCATGCTTGATACCACTGAATTAAAGCAGCTCCCAGCCTGTCAATAATAGCAGTTTTTCCTCTAAGTAGTATTTTCTGAATTGTAAACATTTGCAGAGGAACTGTGTTATTAGCATTTGCCAGCATCCCTACGAGGGACTTTTTTAATTGAAGAGTGTGTGTTCTTTATTTCAGAAAATACACATTCAAAGACACTTCGACTGTTTGTTTTAATCCTGATAAATCCACATCCCTCTTTTCCGATTAAGGAAGGTTAAAATTTCAGAGTGTTTTCTCTAATTTAACACTAAAAGGTCATTGCAATTGCAATGTTATATTTTAAGATTTACCAAGAAGGTCACTTTTTGCCTCCTAACCCTTATCCCCAAGAAGCAAAGAGACTGACTTAATAATAATAATAATAAAGATTTAAAATTAGGGCCATGAGACAAAAAGGACATATATTAGTCACATTTCAGATTATATGATACAGTGAATTAACAACCATGAGTATTCTTCTCACATTAGAGAGCTCTACAGACACGATCCAGGTTTCAAGATAAAAACAAGACCTTCGGTTTTCTAAAGTCAGAAAGTTCAGTTCTATGAGAATCACCGTGCTTTGATATAAAATAAAAATGATGGGATGAGGGTGAATGGGAGCCATTCTTCTCTGTAACTGCTGTGAAGGGTTTCTAGGCAGGGATGGACTTGAGTCTTGCTTTCTGAATTTTAGTTCGACCTCAACTCTCACCCCTGCAAGGCTCAGCAAACGCCGCTCTGATGCTCTGAGTATCCATTTGGTAAAGTCTGTGGCTTCCGAATTTTGAAGACAATCTTGGGCTCTCACACCTGTGATCAGGCCAGATGTTCGGACTCACGATTCTCTTAATCAAACTTCCCAATGGGAAACTTGGAAAATGAAGTACCCCAGCAACTTGCCCTTTGGGTTAGAATGACACGTTATTATGACCTCCTGTTTGTAGAAAATGTGGAGGCTTCAGCTTCTTGGTAACTAAATGCTAAAAACACAGAGAAGGCTATGACATATTTCCTAATTTTAATCTAGATTCAGACCAAGGGTGAAAAGAACATGAAATGATTAAACTCAAGGGGCGATTTGGAAAAATCACCTCTCTTCTGAATTCTAGTTGTCTTTTTTTTTTTTTTTTCTAAAGAGGAAATTTTACCTAGTTGGCTGGTAAGTCCACTTGAAGGCAAACAGGCTTTTTGAATAAAAGGCAAAAAGTTTGCTTCGATCTCTGAAGTGGATCTGAAAACTAGAATTCCTTTTTTTTTTTCCCCCTTGTAAATGAAGGCATTATTTTAAAAATCGTGTAGAAAACCAGTTGTTTTTTAAACAGCCCCTTTAACCATTTATGTTTTGTAGCAAAATAGGCATTTTTCGGGAGATCGCTTAGGAAATGCGGAAAATAATCAAACCGAATAGACACTTAAAAACATAGGAACAAAAAACTACTCATGGGAAGTGTTCTTTGGAAAGTTACAGGCTTGCGTAAAATAGGTATTTCTAAAACAGGGAAACGATGCCACTTGCTCATCCCAATAAACAGCACATGCCTAGTCTGGGGGACGACTTGACAAATGAACTGTGAAGTCATTTTCAGGCTGAAGTCTGGGATGGTCACCATTAAATGGAGTGTGCTACACGAGACAGTAGGTCATCTCTCGTGGGGACAGATGGGGAGAACCAAAACAAGTGACAAAAGGCTGAGTGACATGCACGGCCCAGGCCCATGGGTTTGCCCGAAGCGGCGCCCCACCCATCTCAACAGAAGCTTTGGAAACCCCACATCCATGTGGAGGCGCGCTTTTCTGAAGAGGGAAACCTTGAAGACACACTGGCATCACTCCATCTACAGCAGAAGCTAGGATTCTAGAAAAATCTGAACGACGAGGGATTTGCTTCCAGAAGGACAGAGACATAGACACCACGGGAAAAAAAAAAAACCAGGACCGTAATGACGGAGTCCAAATGAACTGTGAAGTCATTTTCAGGCTGAAGTCTGGGATGGTCACCATTAAATGGAGTGTGCTACACGAGACAGTAGGTCATCTCTCGTGGGGACAGATGGGGAGAACCAAAACAAGTGACAAAAGGCTGAGTGACATGCACGGCCCAGGCCCATGGGTTTGCCCGAAGCGGCGCCCCACCCATCTCAACAGAAGCTTTGGAAACCCCACATCCACGTGGAGGCGCACTTTTCTGAAGAGGGAAACCTTGAAGACACACCTGGCATCACTCCATCTACAGCAGAAGCTAGGATTCTAGAAAAATCTGAACGACGAGGGATTTGCTTCCAGAAGGACAGAGACATAGACACCACGGGAAAAAAAAAAAACCAGGACCGTAATGACGGAGTCCCACGAACACGTGTGCCTGTTAACAAATGAACAAGACCACGACAAAGAAGCGTTGTAAGGCCGAAGGTGCGACATCACAGGTTTTAGTAGCAAATGCCTTGAAATACTCATTTTTTGCAAATCACTCTTATGTTTGAAAAATCAGGCATGCAGACCTTACAGCAAAACTGGCAGTAATCTTTCTGTGACATTTCTGGGCAAATGACTACTGGATGAGAGAGAACGCTTACCGAACTTCTTTGGCAAATATTTATCAAGAGATTTTTGACCCAAACACTTATTAATGCCGCATTTAGAAATGCCCAGGAAGGTGAGTCAGTCCCTTAAGAATGCTGGTTTGTTTCAGCATATTCCAAAATCTCAAGTGTGCATCTCAAGAGAGTCCCTAAAACTGAATACCATTTGAGAGTGTTGGAATGGTCGGCCATCTTACTGGTATGGCCAGTAACTCGACAGTTAGTCACAGCCCCAAAGTAACGGCACAAGAACGCTGACCCCGATTCCAGCTTTAGAAAGCCGTCTGGCAAGATACGAGATCGGTTTCGATTTCTGTTTACAAAGACTTAGCAAAGACTCTGAAAAATCTGAGAGATGGTGTTACAGCAGAGTTGCACAGTGCTGATGTCTACAATGTACACGAATCTGAACGTCCATCAGCAAGATGACCTCAGATCCACCTTTTCTCCCCGTGGACCAGGCTGGAATTGGCCAGCAGACGCGGCGACGACTTGGTGGCTCCCCTTAGAGACACACAGGGCCGGCCTCTCGGCCCCTCCTCATCACCATTCGTCCGGCCTCTGTTTTGTGGTGTCATAGGCTCGAATCACTTCAGACTGGGAAACGATTCCATTTTCATCTTGAGAGAAAGCATACCCATCTGTGAGGGAATGACAGAACAGAATGTCATCTTCACAAAGTGGCGGGACATCGCTGTCACTCTGAGGTTCAAACATTTCATTCTCTACCTCACCATCCGGACGCATCCTTCCCTCCTCTGAAAGCACAGAGACTCTGCTTCGTCAAGTTCAGAAAAGACACACACCCCACTGCAAATGGAAGCGTGGGATGACTGGGGGTGACCCGTGTAGAGTCTATGAATTCTGCTCTCTGGAAGGCTGAGCAGGCACCCACAGTTTTCCTCCACCTCCGTTCAGAATCTCAACTCCAACTGCCCCTAAGTTCTGCTCCTCCATTACTGGAGGGGATGAGGGATTTAGTCGAATGGGCAGGCATTTCTAGGTCAGGTGCATAGGAGCGGAGGAAAACTGAGATGCAGGTGAAGGGACAGCTGTGTTAATTAGCTTTATTTAATCACTTTGCAACATACACCTGCATCAAAACATCACCCAGTAGTACCCCCTCAGTATACACGCTTGCTATTTATCAGTTTGGAAAAAGACTAGAAAGAGAAGATAAATGTGAGGAGCTGTTAACGGGAGGAGAAGTGGTCTCCGTCCTTTAGAAGGAATTCTCCATGGCTCTTGGCATCTACAAATAAATTTACCGATAGCTCTACATGCTTGGAGGGGTGTAGGGATAAGAGATGACCCCCAAGGGGACCCCATCTTTTGAAAAAAACCTTTTGAAGTATGACAAGCAAAAACATCAAACATGAGCCTATATAAATGAAACTAAATCATATCTGGAAACAACGGGAATCCAAAGATATATTATTGCTAATGTAAATCAATTTAATACCAGGCTTTGTACATGATGTTATTTTTTTTTTATATCCTTGAAATACTAAAAGGGCATGATACCTAATAATCTCTTACAACTCTAAATATTCCCAAATATTTTGGAAGGGGAAAATATATGCTTCCTTGTGTTGTGTGAGATAACAATACAGAGGCAGCTTTTAAGAGTTCAGATTTATTTTACGGGCTCTTTTTAAGAGTTAAGGAAGCAAGGAATGTGGAAATATTATTGTTTTTCTTGAAGTGAAACAGCAAGACTTTAAAATGCTTTATTTCCTCTGTTAAAAAAATGAGATGGTGATTACCCAGGGAGTAGCTAACCACTTCTTTACACGATCCATCAAAAGTACGTAAAACTCCTTTGACGTGTCAACATTTTAAATAGCGAAACGTCCCTACAGTCAAAATACTGATGTGGTGAATGCGATGATACAGCCATGGCAGAGAATTTATTTAAAAGAAGAGCTCAAGTACTCACGGAGCAGGTTTTGTTGCAAGGACTCGGACCGGTACAAGTTCACATGGTTCTTCTTAAAGACGTTCTTGAGCAGTTGCGCCCTCTCGGTCAGGCTGTGAGCAGGTGCAAACGTGTGAAATGAATTATCAACTCGGCAGAGACCCCAGTGCACCCAGACCACCAGAGAGGGTTAGCCTTAAACAAAGGATCGCTTGACAAATCTGTAGCCTAGTGTTTTTTTTTTTTTTTTTTTTTTTAATCCCATTTTCTCTGAGAGCAAATGAGATTTTAAGTATTTAAAGACGCTGTGGAGGCCACTTTTTCCATTGCTAAGGAGGAGTTTCAGCCCTAATCATTTAGTCAAAAGTAAGATTCTCTCATCTACCAGTTTTATTTAAGTCAGACACAGAAAACTGTGAAACAAAATGAATAAAAGTTACAAACATCATCTAACAGTAGCACTAGTTTCTAAAACCTTGGTGGATTTACTATGTCTATTTTAAACGTGGCATTTTTAGAGATAAAAAAAAAAAACAACTAGCTTTTCCCATACTTTGCACATATTTTGGTGCAAAATGCATTTTTTTTTTTAGTTAGTCAAAGAAATTCAAAAATCACACGAAGAATATCTTACCTAGACTTTTGAACTAGAAAAATCCTATCAGCACTCCAATACAATACACAATGTGTTTCTTCATTTTGTTTTAAAATCAAAAAGGAATCATTCTCACGATAGGATTATGCTAGGCACATTAACAAGGAAAAATGTTGATTTTTTCCATGTTTAGAATCATTTTCTTCACAGATACGAATCTGGGTAACGTGCAACTGATATTCCCTCCACACCACATGGAGCCAGCACTTCGCCTCACACAGTAGGAATGCATAAATTTACCCAAGAAATGAATTTGAGCAGTGGTTCTGAACTGCGCTTTTACACACCATCCATCTTCCCCATCAGACCGTTTCATCATTGGTTGATTTCAGGAACTTGGACTTTATTATCAAAGAATCTAATGACCACGAGGGCCAAGCAGGGGATCCACATAAGCTATATAGGACGTGTCTGTCTGTGTCATTTTGTTTGGATGACTGGAACGGACTCAGTTGAAAACTTTCCATCTTGCGTTTTTTCCCACTGTGCAAGGTTTCGTGAGATTGCTGTAAATTATGTTCATCCCGTGTTCTGCCAAGTTTTTTAAAGACCCTGAAATGGAATAATCTTTATCCTATACCAAAAAGGATCTTCTGCAAAATGAACTCATTGTGTAAATGAAGAACATAAACATTGAGACAAAAGCCGAAGGAGAAATATTTACAAATGTTGACAGATTTTTGTTTGGGTCCAGGGATAATTCTTGCTCATCAGACATATGTTTCTGTCACTGGGGATTAGCTATATTCAGGCAAGAAAACAAACTAATAGAAAATTCCAATGGTTCAGCAAATAGTTGTAAATTATTATTTTTTTTTTTTTTTGGTCAGTGAAATGAACAGAGAGGAGAAATGAGAAAGGGCCCTTTTTACAGAGTCGCTTTTCTTACTCTGTTCTTTAAATGATCTAACATTACAGATGCAGGGACCCTGAGGGACCCTAAAATATGTAACAGCTTTAAGGAAGTCCGCAGCTTTAGCAGCAGGTGGTCTGAACTGTTAGCAGGGCGTGCTGGTCAGTGTTGGGGCATCTCTGGTGTTGAACCCCAAAATGACTGCAGAAGGTTAAAAAAATGGTGATGTGTCCGTGTGCAGCTTCCTCTTCCCCAAATACACTTGCCAGGCCTCAGGCTGCTCTTTCTAAACGTGTAACACGTCTACACGCCAACACTGAATGTTAAGAAGGCAGCCGTGAGCTTACGTGAGATTTTTTATACACCATGTCACGGCTACTCAAGTCCAAAGAGAATTCCAACGTTGGTGAGAAGTAGACTTAAAGGATGAGTTTAGTTCTGTGAAAAAAATGTTTGAAATTCTTGTGTAGTTTTTTATTTTTTTCTTTTTTCAATAGTACTCATTTCCCATGAACTTTTTGAAGACTCCTTCCTGGAAGACAATGTAAGTCTGTTTTGTAAGGGTTCATATTAGGCTCTCACTTAGCTGGTCCATCATGAGAACAGCTCAGTGTTCTAACACACACGAACAAAGTCTCTTTCTTGGGATAGCAACACGTATTCAGCAAAGTGCATGAGCTTTGGAGTCTGATTTGGGTTTCATTCTGAGTCTGCTCCTTAGTCACTGGGTCCCCACAGGAAAACCTTTCTTGGCCAGGACAATACTTAGCCCTCAGGCAGACTGGCAGACTTTGGTGGGTCGTCTGTATCGTGACTGACAATGGGAAATGCTCAATGAAAGCTGGTCCCTCCCACTCTT